CAGAATGGCCTATCATGCATTTGTGAAATATCTGTGTATTGTGAGCCGTCAGTCAGTCATGAGCAGACGAATCCGCACGCACTTCGCTAGCTTCTTCCTATACAATATGGTAAGGCATGAAAGGCCAATATGATAACTAAAACTTACGTCCATTTCCCAGAAGCTGCCGTGTTTGCCTTCATTTTTGAGAGTAAATGCTCGAGGGGACTTCTCAACCTCGTCTGATCTTGCAAACTCTTGATTGGTCATGGTCTCATAGAGAACCGCAGCAAATTTGTGGCAGCCTCGCTGGTGTTGTAGATTAAACCCAACATCGTTTGTTGACTGGAGCACGAGGGAGAGTCGCGTGTTTGCGAATACGTCTCGCTTGACTGTGTAACACCAAATGCTTCAGAGAGAATTATCAACCGAAAGTATGCATATCACCTTCTTTGAAGCAACCCCTGAGGGTCAGCAATCGCAAGACACGTGCGAGTTTGGTCTTATCAAAGTTGACTGCGTCAGCCAATGCATCCACACTAAGACCTTCTGGGTGTTTTTCCAAGACGTCTGCAATACATGATTGCGTGGCGACGTTTGTGCACGCCCAACTATAATTATGGATAAACTATAAATATCAGCAATAAAACATATAAGGCCGTCTATAATCGACACTTACATTATATGCTGTGTGTTGGGGGGGAGCCAGTATTGTGTTCAATTGCTCGCACGCGCCCTCGAGTAGCCTGATAGCCTTTCTGAGGGCAAGTGTATCCGTTGCGAAGTCGAGGGGGTGGAGGGTATTTGCGTCGATACCGGGGACTCCATGTCCAGTGTTCTTGTATTCCGCCATTGCTTCGCGTGCGGAGGAGTTGATGATGCTCAAGAGAGCTTCAACCTTGATTTCATTTGGCTCCGTCATTTTGGGAGTGTGCGTGATTTCCCACCAATCGTTCAAATTTTATATTTCTTGACAAAATACATTATCCAGCTGCTTTCCCATAGTGGCCAACTAGTGCCGTTGGCAAGAATGCCCAGTTTTGTCAGACTGGTTGCCAAATTGTTTATGCCCGGTCATCGGCAAAATTTGCGCAGTCTCTAGATGTAACTTAAATCTGGTCAACAAAACATACAGGCAAAGTAGAGCGCACATCCTCTGATCTCAGCACAACACAATCCGTTCGATGGTGGAATCTCTCAGATGAGACATTTGAGACACTCGGAAAAACTTTTCGATACCAAAATGCTATAAAAGCCGCAGTTGAAACATCCTTTGCGTAGGCACTTCCCGGGCTCTCAGCCGAACCTCGTGATGCCTTGCTAGTCCTGAGAAAGTATCTTGCCTGATGCCGAATTTGCGGCTCTCGAAGAATCCAAGAAGTTCTAAATGTGAACGAACATCTAAAAATTGGACTTGGTGAAAATGTCGTCTAAAACGCTTGCGAGAGTTACCGTTTTGGTTAGCACGAAATTTGGTTCGTAAATGCCTGGTTTTGGTTATGTTTGAACCCTGAGTACATTTAGATGCGAGATCTAAGGTTTATCGACGCGACATAAGATTATCAGTCATACTAGTAGTAGTACAATCGAAAGAATCAAAACATAGTAGTAGTAGAGATGCGTATTTACGAGCGCGCTTGTGAGGGTCCAACTACCAACACGTACCGTAAAAAGTCGTCGAATTCTACTCGCTCGTCCCCAGTGAGGTTGTTGATGGCGGCTAGAATAGAAAGGAATTTACGATTGACGACCATCCCCCCGAAAGACTCAACCTTCAACTCATCCTCAAGCTGCTCGTCTAGGCCGCAGAACATCACTGCGCCGGCGAGCGCCCAGATCACCTTCAAACGTTTGAGCTGTTCTTCTTCCGTCTCGCCGAGAAACTCGTGGCGTAAGTGAGACCAAGTGAAGTGGATCACGTTGGCCATGATGAAGAAGTTTTGAAACTTCGCCTTGATTTCGACGCGTCCATTCTGAAAAAAAAGAGGGGTTAGGCTATCCGCAAACGAGAACGAAAACTCACTTGGTCAAAAGTGTAGATATGCATGAAAACGAGTCCGTCCGCATCACGCATGATCTTTTCAATCATGCGTTTGCGAAAGACGACAGCAGGCGCGTTACTGTACCGCGGAGGGAAAAGTCTGTACGCGTGGAAGACGCCGTCCCGCGCGAATTCGACGAGCTTCCCGCGCATGGACGACAGCGCATTCGCGACTTCTTTGCGATGTTTGTTAGTAATGAATTCCTGAAATGTCGCTAATAAAGGGTCAGCGTGATGCTAATGATCATTGAGATAAAAACTTACCGTTAGGTCCAAAACAACGTGGGACGGAGTCCCGGATGACTCGATTCAGCATTATCTTCTTGGCGGCTTTGTTGATTGCCATCGCTTGCTCCTCGAATAGCTCGCGCGTGACCAGCCGCGTTGCCGTTTTCATGGTCTGGCCGATGATGTCGTCTGTTAGTTGGATGAGGTCAGACGTTGAGGACATAGGTTGCGAGGTGGAGGCTGAGGCTGAGGCTGAGGCTGAGGCTGAGGCTGAGACTGAGACTGAGGCTGAGGCTGTGGGAGCGGATTTGGAAGCGCCTTGTGGGCGCGTGGCTGGGTAGGGGATCAAGCGTGGCGTAGGCGGCATAGCTCGTTGTTGGCCTCGCCGCTTTGGCTCCCTTGCCGGGCCCGCCGTCTGAATAATAAAAATTAGCGTGAAATTGATTGAAGAAAAACAAACTTACTTACATGCATCACATCCGTGCGTGGAATTTCGCCTTGTTGTATGGGCGTCGCATCAGTTGCGCTTGTGCCGGCGGCAGTGCCTTGAGAGGATCCTTGAGGTGGGTAAGCGCCCTGGGAGGGCGCTTCCATGGACGCAGTATTGTAAGAGGGGCCCGCCGTCTGATTGTGGTAGGAGCCGTGAGATAGGTAGTTGAAGGAAGTGCCCTGGGAGGGCGCTTCCATGGACGCAGTGTCGTAAAATTGAGGGTTGGAGTTGTAAGGGGGGTGATCGTCATCGAAGTCGGTGCCGGCGTGCTCCAAAGACGAAGTGTCGTAGGAATGGCCGTAAGATAAGCGACTATCGGTGTTGGCGCCCTGCATGCTCCAGCTATGCAGGGCTGCAGAATGATGAGCGATCAGTCAACGAAAGTGTGATGAGTCGGACTTACAGCTGCTACTTGGCATTGGGGTGGGAAGTGCGCTATCGTTGTTACTGCCCTGCCAACCTCCAGGGGCCGCATGGGCGTCGAAGTCGAAAGAGGACATCTGTGGCTGTTCAGTGGGGATATAGAGTTGGTCAGTTGCCGGTTCGCCCGATGGATTGAGGCCAGAACCTCGCGGTGGCTTCAGGACTTTGGCCTTAGTTTTTCGCTGTCACTGAGAGTTACGCTCACTAGGCATTCAAGGGTGGAGGGGATGTGAGAGCGCACGCATGCATTTAAACTGCGAGTTGATGTAATAGTACATAGGGGGGAAAGAGACACAGACTTTACACGATCTTTACAAACCGGGAACGCGTGGCAGGCTGATAAGGTGATTTACAAACAAAGCAAGGCGATTTACTAACGAAGTGTAAAAAGAGGGGAGGGGCGTGTCCGATAAGGTGATTTATGAACGGCAGGAAGACATATATGAACGGCCGGGGCGGGCGAAGCACGTTATTGAACGGTCGAAGCAAGGTGGTACCAGTTGATAACAATCTATTAACACGATGACTGAATTGATAATGATCAGTGTGAGTGTTGTGAATGGCTTGGCGGTCACATACCATTGATGGTCACAATTACACGCTGCGTCAGTCCTGCTGGCCGGGCTGCCCGACTGAAGCATCATCTTCGCCGGAATCCGTATCGGTGTCGGTATCGGTGATGACACCGGCCTCCGTACAACCACCCCCCAGCGCACGTGTGATACTGTCCTTATTTTTCAGAGTACCAACAAAACGAGGGAGGTAGGTAGTTTCGCCGGTAGACGCCAATAATTCACGTCTGGCGCTGGAGCCCAGGTGGTTTGAGATTATCTCTGCTTGGGCGGTGATGGCGCGAAGTATCTCGCATTCATCATTGTAGACGGCTTGATTGTAATTCGTATCATCATCGATTTCCGTGCGGTCACGCTCGGAAAAAATGTTCCTAATCTTCTTCAGCTGTTCGTCCTTCAAAAAAAGCCGGGTTTTGTTCTCCTGGTGAAGCGCCTGATTGAATGTGCTCATGCGCTCTGAGGCTTCAACCTGCCATAACGATGTGGCTACTTCATGGCGAGCAGCCTCACGACCAGCAAGTACTGCCTTGAACGCTTTGTACAATGTACCAAAGCTCATCTGTGAGAGGCCACTGGATATTGCATCCTCGTGCTTTTGAACATAGACTATGTGAGAACCAGAGAACTTGTATAACAAAGCAATGAAAAGACAAATACCTCTTGCAGTTGTTCAGCTGTAAAGTCAGGTTGGCGTACTCGCCCTGTCACGCGGTTTGCAAACCGAAGCTCCAGTGGACTTGGCCTGGGAGGGTATGGTACATGCCTCTTGGATGGCTTCTCACGCAAGTAAGCTGCCCGAGAAAGTGACCTTTGTGACTGGAAACTGTCAGGCTGATACAACAGGCTTTCCTTTACATCAGGAAGGTACGGAAGCTCTTCCACCGGGGAAAAGCGACAGTTTGGAGAACCTGGAGGATAGGGGGACATCTTGGGGGAAAGTAAACAGTCAGAGCCAGATAAGAGCTCAGTGGCCATTATATGGGGTGACTCAGGGTAGTCAACCTTCTTATAAAACTCCAAGGGAGTTAATTCTACACAGGTCGCACTGCTTGATGTAGTGCTGGTGAAAGTGGGACTGCTTAGTCGAGCAGGAGATGAGACCGGTGATGAAGACGCAAGTTCCATTGGCCTAGCGTGATGACTGTGCGCTGCGAAACGTGAGGTATTCAGACTTTGAATGACTTTAGTTTTTTCAGGTGCACTCACTCACCAGCTAAAGTCTAAGCCAAGTCTGCGCTACAATGTAAGTACTTCTGTTGCTCACTTCATGATACCGTACATACCTCAAATTGGCAGGCTTTGTCCCAACTGCAAACTGGGGGACTATCCATCCATCAAGGCGCTTATCTCACATTTCAACTCTCCATCTACTTGTTGGCCATTCGACGCACGACCACAAACGTTACCCGTCCCTTCTGTATTCAATGGCTGGATACCTGTCACTGGTACGTGTTACCCGCAATCTGGGTACGTCTATGGTGTCGGTAAAAATATGCTGGATAAGTTAGAAGATGATCAATATGCATATCGACGGAAGATAAATCCTTATTACCCCTTCCATGATGAAGGTGAATGGGAATTAGGGAAGTTTTTGGTGGAAAACCTTACTCAAACTCAGATAACCAAATTTTTGAAGTTAAGATGGGTAAATGTGACGAATATCAATCTAAGCTGTACTCCTAACTCTTGCCTTCACAGTTTGACTCTCCGGATCGCGCAAAACCATCTTTTACCACAAAAGATTGCCTCCTGGACTGGATGGACTCACTGCCTTCTTTTGCCCCGTGGAAAGTCTCTAAAATAGAATTTAAAGGCTATAAGACTGTCCGTCCCGTGGAGCTTGTTTGGCGCGATGCGCTGGAGGTTGTCAAGCAACTATTCAGCGACCCAACTTTTGCAAACCACATGACCTTTCACCCTCACGTCGCTAACGTCGAAAATAAGCGTGAATATGGAGACTACATGAGTGCCGATATGGCATGGAAAATTCAGGTTTGGTCGCCCTGTTATTAATATAATCCTCACCGATTGTAATTTCTAGGACCATCTCCCGTTGGGTGCGACTCAAGTCCCGATAATCTTAGGATCCGACAAAACTCCCGTAACGCGACTTACCGGAGGAATTGAGATGCACCCGGTCTTCATTACCATCGGTAACATTGATTCTGAGGTTCGTTCCAAAGCAACATTACGAGCTTGGCGCTGCATAGCCTACATCCCTGTCGTCAAGTTCCGCGTCCATCCAGATTACCAGTCTATTCTCCAAGCCAGACTGTGGCATAAGTGTATGGACCTTGTTTGCGCCAACCTCAAGGCCGCAGCGAAGGATGGCTGCTTTATGCCCGATCCTTCCCGTTACATTCGTCATGTGTTTACGCCGCTCGTCGCTCATGTGTGCGACCTACCAGAGGCTACTATGATCGCTGCAGTCAGCAAAAACTCATCCCCGCTGACTATGGCAACACAAGCGGATTTTGGCGATGGAATTCTCCACCCCCCTCGTACCGGGAAGCACACATTGCAACTCATTGTGGAGATATCCCGAACGGTCGATCCCTGGGATCTCGACAAGTTCCAGAAAGCGGCCAAAGCCATTAATCTATCTGGTGTTCATATGCCACACTGGCGCGATTGGATGTTTGCATGTCCGTCTGTTTTTCTCGCCGGCGAAGTGCTGCACACTTGCCATAAATTCTTCGCGGATCATCCACTGAAATGGATCAAAGAAATTGTAGGACATTATGAGCTTGATACTCGCTTCATGGTGCAGCACAAGCGAGTCGGAACGCGCCACTTTACGAAAGGTATCACTCACGTTAATCAGATGACAGGCCGCGAGCATAGAGACATCCAACGCACTATCGTTGCATCGATCGCAGGGGCCGTTCCACCCAGATTCGTTCGTGCAATTCGTGCCCTCGTGGAGTTCTTTTACCTTGCACAGAATCCGGTTCACTCACCTCAATCACTTCAGTCAATGGTTCAGGCGCTTTCAGATTTCCACTCTTTCAAGGACGCTATTGTCCAGGCCGAGGCAAGGAAGGGGAAGAAGGGTATCAAAGAGGATTTTTTCATCCCCAAACTCGAGCTTCTGCAGAGCTTCGATGGTACGATTAAGAAATTGGGCACTTTGATGCAGTTCTCTGCTGACGTGACGGAGCGGCTACTTATCACACATTGCAAGGACCTTTTCCCGCGGACGTCCCGACAAATCAAAGATTTTACGGAGCAGTGCGTGCGGATTCTTAATCGCCAAGAATCTATGGAAATGTTCGGCCTGTACATGCTGCTGACTTCTCGCGGGGCGTCACTGGTTAATGCCATACATGCCGAAGATGAAGATATCACAACTACCAATCCTGCACTCTCCTGGGTTTCCCGAGTTCTTCCTGACGAAGTCAGGTCAATCCATGGTCCCCGACCAGTCCGTAATCACTTCCTCAAAGGTATTCTCTCTGAGGATGCGCTCACCGCTTTTCAACTCAATGTCGCACCTGATTACAAATCACTCTCACCGTCTGAAATACGCAGGAAATATGCAGTCCTCGACTTTGATCGTGCGCTCGCCAACTTCATTTGTCGTTCCTCGGTTTCCAGTGGTGAACATTCCCGCTGGGACCCCAAATATGGGCGTTTCCAGGTATGGCACAAGTTTCGATTGCAGCTTCACTCGGCTTCCAGCCGCGAGTCATCATGCCAAGTCGGGTGGTGCAAGCATACCCACCAAGCGATGATTTCCCCTTGGGAAATTGTGATACTGTTCTCATTGACGCCATGGGCACTAACGGCAAAATGAGTATGTCTATTTCATGTGCTTATGTTGTAGCCCTACTGATATCATGTACAGCGAGTTATATCGCACAGGTTCGACTCATTTTTCAACCAATCGTTCGATGAGGTTCCAACCTGGAACTACCGTCGTATCTCTCTGACCCACTGCTCTACGTCCAATTTTTCCGCTTCATTTCCAGCCCTGATGATCGTCCCGAGCTCGCGATGTGGACCGTGGAGCGCACATACACGCAGGACGAAAACGGTAACCGCTGTAGGGAAGGGGCTGTCATTCGAGTGACAGATGTGACGCATGCAGTTGAATTAATTCCAGTTTATGGCGAGGCAGTGGCTAACGGCGTGTCCTCTGCGACTTGTTTGGAACACTATGAACGTTTCTTTCTGAATAGCTTCGCGGACAAGGAGAGTTATCATACGTTCAGTACCGAGTTTGTATAGACAGTAGCTTAATCAATATGTAGCAATTGCTATCGCATTCATCGTATCATATCTGTGAGCCTATCACATCTTATCAACAAAAGATAAATTGGTTTATGTTTTATCAGCCCGATGTGGTGAGTAATATTGGCGTTCAGACATCTCCACCAATCGCATGACTTCGCTACTGAAGTCGTAAGCGTCCGTAAGTGTTCGTAACGCGCGTAAGTTAAGCGTTCATTTCAGTCGTTTTGCAGATGAAGTGCTAGAGGGAAATGCTTTTGATTTCAATAAGTTGGATCGGGTGGAAGAAGGAATGATACACCGACAAGACCATCAGGAAAAGCCCCGGGCAATTTCCAGCGGAAGTTGCTAATACTTATCTTTAGATAATCAGGTACACGTTGTAGTTCTATTACCACTAGTTATTATGTCTTACCTTCCTGTCACTACCACACAGTGACATTGCAACATTTTCGCATTATGTTGGCCCCGCGCAATCATATTGTCTGAAGATTGTGAGCCGCTTGTGACGTTTGCGATCATCTTGCAATACTTCATGATACTTAGGCACCAGCAGCGCCGGCTCGGGCCGTGGACACTGGACACCAACTTGAAAATTTGCTTGCCGCAGTCAAAGTTATCTCATCAAGCCTTCCTGGGCCAACCGTGACTACCGTTCTGTATTTACTTCCAGCAGGTGACCAGCACCATCAACTTACCCGAGCCATTGATTTCGGCCGTCATGCCTCCTCAGCGCCGCGCACCCATTGAATATGATTGTGATGCATGTGGAGCTCATAATGTTGATGCTATTCGTTTGACGAGGCATCGAAACCAGTGCAAAGCAATGCGCACCAAAGCCCGCCGTGCCTACGAGAAGTGCGTACACTTTCACGAAAAGCGTCTGGCAGCAAAAGCGCGTGCAAAGGCGGAGAATTAGCCTTTGTCACTGCGGCATCGCATCCAATGTCAACCGCTCAAACACTCACAGGCCGCACTACCAGTGGCAATCATAGCTATTGCAGGGACTTGGCGGATTTAAATGGGCGAAGGTTCTGTGAGTACCGTGCAAGTTGGATTGCGCTGGGCGTACTGATTTTATTTATTTCCTATCAGTCAAAGGGCTCTTTCACTCCGAGTTATCCGGTCCCTGAGCCTCTACCAAGACCTGCTCGTGATATTGCTGAGTGTGATGTAGACTGAGCATGACCGACTTGTCTTTTCTCCCATACCCGATTCCCACGATATAATAGTGGGAGAAGGTCGATTTGAGATTAGTGGTCTGACTGGCTTGCTGACCCAGCGGTTTCACTCAAAGTGAGACATGGCAGGCCTGGGGTGTATAAAAAGTCTACCGAATCTCACATTTCCACTTCAGTTCGCTTCGCGGCAACACTAATTCCAGAAACCATCCGAAGTTTGTCAAGCTTTGTGATTCACTCACGAAAATATGGGGAACGATGACGCAGTGTTTCTCTCAGACGGTCCGAAGGATTATATCTGAGGAGGGGCCTCCCAGGATGAGTTTGGCAGTATTGATTTGACTGGCTTGCTCGCCAGCAGTATCAATGACAGACGGTGATGAACCTGAAGATACTATAATGATGAATCTATGAGTCACAATGGTCGACGAGTCTCTTCATCCCATCGGGGTGCCTACCGTTCAAGTATATATACGTGCCACAGGTGTCCGAGGTGCGGTGCGGTACTGCGGATATCGCACGACTCAGTGATGTTGGCGCTGCCGATGAGAATACGTATGATTGATCTGAGATGGCAGTACACAATGCGAACTAGAGCATTAGCAATGAACTGCAACACAGAAATTTCTACTAGGAATAGCATACAACACGAAGGCGGCCTTATGCCACATTGCTTCTTATTGGCTTCGATCCCTCTCAACTACTTGCGACAGCCAAAAAGAGTTATCGATAGAAAGCACTGCGAGAATTTCGGACCAAGACGTCCGGTGTGAAATTGCGATTAGCTGGGATAGTAAGCGGCAGCATTGAATGAGTTCAGTGGGACAAAGCAATAGAAGACTCACACACGAGATGCGCATATGTTCATAATGGTCAGAGCAGAAAATTCTGTACCAGGACGATCGAAGAGCCTCATCGACAGCATGCTTGTTTCTGCCATTCTACCTAGCGACGATACAATCAGTGCCCTGGCCTGTCTACTAGACAACGGCATGAAAACAATTCGTGAAACATGATCATCAATGCACATTGCACTGTCTTCGACTGGGATGTCAGCAGGCATAAAAAGTTGAGACTACTCAAGTGATACTGAAGAATTTCAAGCTAACATAGGGCACTGGTTGAATTATGACGACTAACGAAGAACCAGGAGAACGAGCATGGTTGTAGGCTGAGCCCGAATGAGGTTGTCGGAAATTACCGTGGTGATGACTCAGACCCGGGTACGTAAAGGAATTAATTAATTAACTTTCAACTTGAATGTAGTATGACGTTCATGAATTCGGTATGAGGGAGGACACGACACTACCTCTTCATATAGAATATAGCCAGCTGCAAGCCTCGGTGCCGAAATACAGTGACTTCCATCGACGACACGCTTTCAGCTAGTGTATAACTTTATCACTGGTAGCTCTAATGGTCTATTGTAGTACTAGAGTTCGACTCGGAGGTCCCCATTCTTCAGCCCTCGTGTCTCACTGGCCACGGAATGTTTGATGGAGTGACAGGTGACCTAATTGACCGTGAGGTTTCTTCAAGCAAGCTTACACGGTACGCCTCATGCTGCTTATCTTCATGTAATGACAATGCGTATTTATAATATAACTTGAAGGCCGATGGTGCTCCGAATCTTCCTCAGCAAGCCTAGCCCAGTATTCGCTGTTCCCATCTCGTTCCGCATGAACTCCCAACTGTCAGAAGAATCTACGAAGGGGGACAAGGAAAAGGTTGAGGAGGTCAACGGAACCAACCCTCAACCTTTAAACCTTCAGCTTGACACTGGTGACGAGTATACTAACTTTCGTCAAAAATGGTGGCAGTTGTGGTAAGTGAACTACTTTTCAAAAAATGACCTCCGAAGTTCATCGAGCCGCGGGCAGGTTACCTAAGGACCCACCACCTCCAGCTCCCCCGTCTCTGGAGGATGCAGCGGTATGCAATCCCCTACGCTGATTTTGTGAGGGACCCTTCTAATAACATGTCATTTTACAGCTGACGCCTTTGGCCAATGCTTCCATTTTCTCTCAGCTCACGTACTCCTGGGTCACAGATATAACGGTCAGTCATTGAATCCTGATACCGACGTATACTGCTATAATGTATACATCCAGATTCTCGGATATCAGCGCACATTACAAGCATCTGATCTACACAAAATGGACCCATCACGGGAGTCGACCGTCCTTGCCGCTAAACTTGAAGCTGCATGGCAGCGGCGTGTCAAAGCAGCAGCCGAATGGAACGCACGACTTGAGAGTGGAGAACTCAGACCGTCTCTCTTCAAACGTACCGGCTGGGCCATGCGTGCACTTTCAAGCAATGATCAGAAACAAGGTGCGACTCGGTCTGAGCGATATGCAACATTTCAGAACCATTGGCGAGAATCCGAAGGGCGGAAAGAGGCCAGCCTCGCTTGGGCTTTGAATGATGTCTTTCGTGGGATGTTCTGGATTGGAGGTATATTCAAGGTACGAGTTTTCCTCTCATTTATTGCTGTTATAATCAATGTACAACACCACTTGTCAGGTCTTTGGTGATACTGCGCAGCTCATGGGTCCAATCGTCCTTCGGGTAAATAGCAACCTCTGTGTTTGGTTGCGGTAGCCTCTGACGCCTGTCCTCCCCCGGCAGCAAATCATTCTCTTTGCGGAGGAGCGTTCCGCTGCAATCATTGCAGGAACACCTGGCCCTAATATCGGTCGCGGGATTGCCATGGCCTTTGGGCTCTTTGGGCTCACTGTGATGGCCAGCATCTGCACCCACCAAGTTTGTTAAAATTTATGAATTACACTCGGCTCACCTAATGTTCCTAAGTTCTTTTGGCGTTCGATGGCAACAGGGGTCCTGGCCAGAGCCGCGCTGATAACATGTATTTACGAGCGCGGAGTGAACCTGACGGGCAAAGCGCGCGTTAAAATCAACAACGCCACGCTCGTGAATCACATTTCTACTGATGTGAGCAGGGTTGACGCGTGTGCGCAGTGGTTCGTGAGTTGCAAACTTAAGCACTATACTCCTGCTGTCGACTGACTTGTAGCCTGTCCCTCGTCACTAGCATGCAGGTCAGTATATAGAATCTGACATTCAGATTTAGAGATGACTTACTATCCTCAAGCCTGGACCGCGCCTATTCAGGTCACAGTTTGTTTAATCATTCTCTTGACTGAGGTTTGTTGTACGCTGTGAAAAGTTCAGTTTATTCTAACCGCACTTAAAAACTAGCTCGGGCCGTCTGCACTCGCTGGTTTCTCGCTGTTCATAATCATGATTCCGATTCAACAGTGGTTAATGACACTGCAACATCGTATCCGCTTAGTGTCAATGAAGTGGACTGATCAACGAGCTAAAGTTCTGCTAGAAGTACTTGGTACGTAACCTTGGGGCAACTGGGACGTGCAAGGACACTGAAGTGCATAGGGGCTATGCGGGTCGTCAAGTACTTTTCATACGAGGTTCCTTTCCTTCAAAGTAAGCATGACGTCAAGGAATGTCAACAACATACTCACCAACATTGCTTAGGAATTTTCGACCTTCGAAAGAAGGAACTACATGGCATTCGATGGATTCTTCATCTAACTTCGGCGAAGTAAGTCCAGATGTGTATAGCATGATGACGCCTCCTGATTAAATATACACAGCTTGGCGCTCGCGACTTCGCTGCCAGTCCTCGCTGCCACACTAGCTTTCGTCACGTACACCCTCACAGCCCACGACTTCAACGTTGCTGTCATATTCAGTTCGCTGAGTTTGTTCCAGGTGAATTTGTCTTTTGCGGCAGATATATGAACACGCACCTAATCGTGAGACAAATAGCTT